TTCTAGTATGATCGATTCAAATTCTAGTATAGTCGAGTAAAAAGTAGTATAATCGAATCAAATTCTAGCATAATTGAGTCAAATTCTAGTATAGTCGAGTCAAACTTAGTATAATCGAGTCAAATTCTAGTATAGTCGAGTCAAACTTATTATAATCGAGTCAAATTCTAGTATAAATGAGTCAATTTCTATTATAGTCGAGTCAAACTTAGTATAATCGAGTCAAATTCTAGTATAGTCGAGTCAAACTTAGTATAATCGAGTCAAATTCTAGTATAGTCGAGTCAAACTTAGTTAATCGAGTCAAATTCTAGTATAGTTGAGTCAAACTTAGTATAATCAAGTCAAATTCTATTATGATCGAGTCAATTATAGTATAATTGAGTCAAATTCTAGTATATTCGAGTGAATTCTAGTATAATCTAGTCAAAACTTAGTATAATCGAGTCAAATTCTAGTAGAGTCGAGTTGGCACGTTCATTTTACAAATAAACATATTCATCATATTAAGAAACACGTTACTTTATACAAATTCAACATATTTATCGCGCTAATTAACATATTCATCTCATAACATAACATATTCATCTTTTAAGTTGACATGTTCATTTTAAAACGTAACATATTCATCTTATAAGATGACATGTTCATTTTAAAACGTAACATATTCATCTTATAAGTTGACATGTTCATTTTATATATAAACATATTCCTTTATAGAATATCAACATATTCATCGCGCTAATAAACATAATAATCTCATAACCTAACTTATTCATCTTATAATTTGAAATGTTTATTTTATAAATAAACAAATGCATCAAGTTAAGAAACACATTACTTACAAAATCAACATACAACATGTGGACAACAAGAACATTTATCAACTAATATATTTATATTTCGAGTAGTTATATGATATAAGTTACAAAAAATAATATAATATAACACATATAAGTCATAAGTAACACATATCATTCTAAAATATATAGTAATATATTTTTTTGTAAAAAAGTAAACTAAATTTAATATAGTTTTTCATTAATTTTAAAATTTAAAAATAATTTTTTAACAAGCACCTGTGTAATACACAGGTGTTGTACTAGTAATAAATTGATTACAAAAAAAAAGAAAAATTAATTGTGTTCAAAAGCCTATCAAATGTGGTCTCTATTTATAGAGAATAAAAAATTATGAATTTTAATATTTTTTTTTTTATTTTAACATAAATTACTTAAATATATTTTAATTTATATAATATGTTCCATTCAACTAAAGAAAATGAAAGTGACATTTTGTCCCATTAGATGCGTGTACATCAAAAGTTGTTTTCATTAATTTATTTAAAACCCATCAGATTTTTTGTTTTGTTCACTTTTTTTTTTTTTTTT